TTTCCTCTAAATTGCATCTTAGCCTCTTATGCTTCCTAATGCACACACCCCCTTCTTTTTATACATGAAGGCACCTCTTCTCTTCCCTCATCTAATCAATGTGGGATTTAGAAACAACAACCTTCCTCCCTCCCCGTTTTTTTTGTTCCTTCTACCTTCTCTTTTTTTAACACACACATAAAAAAATATTTATGTATTATATCTTAACTAAATATTGCTTATGTGGTTTTAAATTTAAATTTTTAAATTCATAATTAAATACCTAACCATAATATTATTTCTAAATAACCTCAAATAATATAAATTCCTATTATTATCATTTTTTTCCTCAAAACCTAAATTCCATAATTTATTTATTATATAAAAATCAGGATGTTACAACCATGTGCTGTTTTGACCTCCCACTCGAGTAAGGTAAATTCACACATCATTTTAATTCATTTTCAAGGCTGTCCAAAGGTCTATAAACTTTATTAGTTTTCAAAAACACCATTAATTTGTAACACATATTTGACTAATTTACCTTTTTTAAACACTCAAAATTTTAAGTTAAAAACTTAGGATTTTACAGAGACAGTGGTCAATCATCCTTAACGAGTTTATGTTTGTCATCTTGTTAACACCCTTATGAATAGTACATTTTTGCCAATTGGGAAAGCAGTTGGAGGATTCGAGTATTTCACGCTTATTAAAAAGGATAAATTACAAGTGCATTGACATATGTTTACTAATTGCAAAGGAGTAGAGCCATTTTTATAATGAGTTTACAAATACATACTACCGGTATATGTTGCTTCTTATCAGTTATGTATTATTATTAATAATATCTTCATTTTAATAGGGAATTTAGAAGCATTGTAAATAACAACTTCAAAGTCATTCAAGGTCAACTTTAAAGTAGTGGCAACACTTAGTTTAGTGGCATTTTTGGATAATGCTAGAATTACCTTTAAGGCATTTAAATGAAAAAGAGGCTCCTAAACAACATTTTTTTTTTGTAGTAGTAGCAGTATTTCAAACTAGGTCTAGGTGCCTAATTAAGTTGCTTTATAGAGAACCCATTAGCAGTCTACTGACAGCTAAGAGAAGGCAAAGATAATTGAAGCTATCCAAAAACAATGCTAACCACACTACTTTAATTCATTCAAATCTATCTTGCTTTAAAGTGCCAAAGTTTTTCAACTTGGTTAGTTTTCTCTCTAATGTGAATATCCCTCGTATCTCTTCATTTATTCTATGTGTTCTTTTTCTTCCTTCTTAATTAATTCTTATTTAGTTCCACAAGTCATGTTTGAATGAAGAAGTCATTGGGATTTTTTTTGGGAGAATTATAACTAGCGAGAATGGCACCTAAGACCCACATATCAAACAAATTAGCATATAAGTTCCAATACATTTTGAATTTATTCTGTAAGTCTAAATGCCTTACATGCAAATATTTTTTGATGAAATGACTCATTTGCCCCTTGTTTGAATAAATAGCATCGTGCTAAGGATATTGTGTTATTAATGTATGAACCTTGTCATATTATATACGAACATTTTATTGTTTATATAACTAAGAAACTTGTACATTATAGTTTAACTATATTACACATACTATGTATAATGAATGTGCATTATGTTGTTAATATATGGGCACTGTTATATTATATATGGACATTCTGTATTTATACACCTAGAAACTTGTACATTATTGTTCAACTAAATCACATAAACTATGTGTAATGAACATATATTATGTTATTAACATAGGGACTTTATTAAGGGTTGAGATGCAAGAATTAGCAGAGGTCATGACTTCCTTTAACTTTTAATTTTTTTTCATAATGAAATATAAAGGTCATATATTTTTTGCTTCCCTAAATTAACACATTGTAAAAATCAACATTAGATGGAATTCTCATTTCAATTCTACAATAGTCTTTTAAGCATGCATAGTCCAACTGTTTCAGTAGTTTAAAAATATAGTTATTATAGGATCTACTTATTTTCGATAAGATAATGTTATAGTTGCTCTTAAATCATTAATGTTATTTGATTTTTCTTTTATTTTATATTTAATGAAAGAAATTATAAGAATTATTATCAACAAACTTTGTCAGGCATTGCAACAAAAATCTCAATATATTGAATGCTATGTGCTTGATATCTAACATAAAATTATTTATCTAAAAGTTAAGAGGTTATGGTTAAGATACGTTCTTCTAGAAAAAAAATTACTTTTTTATGTAATAACCAAGTTATTAAAATTTATTAATAAAGAGTTTTTACTATGATATACTTAGATCTCATCAACATAAAGAATTTGTGACAATTGAGTATTATTACCTTGTTGATATACTTGTTTACTTCAATTATTAAAAGAATTAAATAGTGAATTTAGCAAGCAAGTAATATAGTTTTTTAGATTGAACAAAACCTTAGATCCCAATAATGCATCTAAATTTTTTAATGCTTATGAGAAAGATGAAATCTTTACCAATTTAATGATAATTTATATATTGAGAAAACATTGCTAAAAATTTATTGTGTATATGATAATTAATTATTCTTATGCCATGAAAAATTAATGAGATAAATTTAAAAAATAAAGATATATATATATATATATTTATTATATTTATAAATGTAAAATTGAATATCAATATATACATTCAAATATTTATGTTATGTTTGTGATATCAATTTAATGGATTTTCTTTCAACTACTATATATGTTTTGTTATCTTGACCTTTTCTAATAAAATTTTTTGACTTCGTCCTTAGATCTTGTTGTGCTATATGTAGACATTTTGTTATATTTATACTTGAAAAACTTGTGCATTTTAAATGAGGAGCAAATGAGTCTTTTAGCTGAAAAATATATTTGCATATAAGGCCTTTGGTCTTGCAAAATAAATTCAAAATATATTGAGTTTTATGTGCATAGTTTTTTTATTTGAAAGCCTTAGGTGCCATTCTCCCTTGTAAGTAGGTTTCAAAAAAGGAAATTATTTTTTTTTCAAAATTAATTTTTCTTCAATTCCATTTACAAGTCCAATTTTGATATTTACAAGTTGTTAGAATCTGCGAGTGATTAATATTCTTTTTTTGTTTGGCACTTGTTACGAATTTTCCCTCCTCCTTTCAATTACAAACAATAGGGGGGAGGGGATGGCATGATGGCAATCTTAAATAGTTGACAAGCTCTAGTTTTTTTTTAATAGAAAATCATCTTGCATTTAAAATCAATAACTTCAACTAATTTAGATTAAATTAATCCCTAATTAGACAAGTGTAATTCTATTACTACTTGAACTAAGCCCTTGTTGGTGACAAGCTCTAGTTTAACACTAATAGTCTAATACACTGGGTACACATTGGTTCCTAATAAAGTTGTAAGTTTATTTTTCATGAACAATAAAAAAATTGTTAGTTTAATTTAACGGTTAACAGAAAACAAGTAAAAGCAATCCTGTGCAGTCAATACATTATGTATGCTAATAATTGGCCAAAAAATACATTACGCAAGTTAATAAAATTAATAATATTCTCAAATCAAGCCTCACCATCAAGCAACCAGCATGGTATAAAATAGAAGACGCAATCTATTTTGTTGACAAAGAACTAATCCCTTTTAATTGAAAATGTACATTAGTGTATAAATTAGTTTTCATATTTTTCGCCAGGGCCCTTCCATAGGCAAATATTCCCATCAGATAATAATAGCACTCATCTGGCTCAATTTATTAGTTGCAGGTCATAAATAATGGATTTTTGAAAATATTTATATTCATGTATTAAATAATACACCCCTTCCTCAATTATAAGACACTTTTAAATAAAATTTTATATATCAATAAATCTTATTAAATATACTTAATAAATTTATATTTTTAAAATAAAAATATAAAATTTTAAAAATACTCATCATTTACTATATTGAAAAGAGAAGAGATAAAAATAAAATATAAAGAGAGAAAGGGTAATATTTAAATTGATACATTTAATGAAACTTTAACTTACTTAAAATATTTTATATTTTAAAATAGATAAATTTCTTTAAAATTTTTTATAATTTAAAACGAAGGGAGTACATGAATATAAATAAAAAGGGAAGTGCACGTATTGTTTCTTTTTTCTTTTTTATATATAAAAGAAAAACAAAAATGTATTTCTTGCAGGGGTGTGTGTGGACTGGGCCCGAATTGGATGGCAATCAACCCACAGCCTAGCCTAGTCGAAGCAGAGGCTCATGTTCCAAACCAGTGGTCTGGTCTGATGTGGGTATAACTCGAGGCCCAACTGAGTAGCATTGGTTCAACTCGATCGGTCCCCAAAAATCTTCAGTTCAAAAAATGGCAGCATGATAGATCATTAAAATCCTAAGGTAAAGCATAATGATTCAGGAAAAGAAATTGAGATTTATAAACTTGAAACTCTCATAGTGAGAAAGCATGATCCGGAAAAACAATTTGTAAACACAAGGCTGAGAAAAAAAATCACAAATAGTCCATCACACATTCCAATCGCAAAAAGAGTTTAAAACATATAAATAGTATTTTTTAAGTTAAAAGTATATTGATATGCACTTATAATTGTAAGAATGTTCACAAGTTCAAGGGTTTTTTTTATTTCTATTAAGAAATAAGTAATAAGAAATAATTTTGTTTATGAAAAAGTAAATAATTCAAAGCCAAAAATAATATTCAAGAAGTAACATATTTCATAAATTAATGACCCAAAAAATATATTTCATAAATTAAAATAAAATTTTATCATATTTTTTATTTAAAAAAGATCATATATTTTAAAACGGATAAAAATTTGTGTAGTTTACATTTGAAATTTTTTAAAAAAGGATGGTTTTTTTTTTTGCACAAAGGAAAAAAAGGTTTTTTTTTTTGTTTAAAAAAAGCGAAGTTCTCGAATGTGGTCCTCATTGGTCGAGGGTAAAAAATGGAATACGGTTCCTTGCTGTATTTAAATGGGCTTATCTACTTCGGATCGAGGCCCATTATACCCTTACTCTGCTGTTCATCCCTTTAAAGCCTTCTCGCGTCGTTGCTCACAAACCCTGAAACCCTAATCCCGCACTGCAGCCGGCCGCGAGGAAATTGTTGGTGACAAACTCTCTCGTCTCTCTTCCTCGAGGTAAGCTATTTCATGTTCTTTATTTCTTTGACAACAATTTCGGATGTGAGTTTCGTGGAATAGAACCAGTTATAACTCATTTCTTCGCCCTTTTTGTTTATGCATTGAAGAGTACTTGAATTTTGTAATGAACGATTACTGATTCTAATATTATCTCATTTGCTTTTGATTTTTGATAGTCTAAAAATGTCGACTGGAGAGGTTGCTTGCACTTACGCGTCTTTGATTCTTCATGATGATAACATCCCAATCACTGTATCCTGATTTGTCCCCCTTGCTTTTTTGTTCTTTATTGATTCAATATTCTAGTGATCTAAAACATTTCAGCATAAATTTTCTATGGATAGCAATATTCGAAACAACGGTAGGTCTAAGGTTAAGGATATAGGGTCTAACAATTTTTTGTTGTTGTTTGGTCTTGAAACGAAGCGTTTCTGGATGATGAGTTTCTCCTTAAGATAATGTTCATAGGCTGAGAAGATCTCAACCTTGGTGAAAGCAGCAAATGTTGATGTTGAATCTTATTGGCCAAGCTTATTTGCCAAGCTTGCCGAGAAGCGAGACATTGAGGATCTGATCCTCAATGCTGGTGGTGGTGGTGCTCCAGTTGTTGCTGCTGCTCCAGCTGCTGCAGCTGGTGCCGGAGCTGCTGCTGCTGCTGCTCCTGCTGCTGAGGAGAAAAAGAAGGTAGATTTCAAATGATAATTTGTTCCCCTGGGTGTTATTAAACTGTGTTTTTTTATCATAGGTGTCTAACTGGTGCCTGTTTCTTGGAATCTTAACAGGAAGAACCCCAAGAAGAGAGTGATGACGACATGGGCTTCAGCTTATTTGATTAGAGTCTCTTTCCAGTATGATATGTTTTCATTTTCTTTGTTATTGTAATGGTAGTTTATTTATGGATTTTGTAGGCCTTTCTTTCGTGGTGATTACTTACAAATATATGTGAAAGTCATGATTTTGTAGTGCTTTTAACTTTTGACAATTTGGTTTTCTGTCCAATCTAAGGTTTCGGACGCTAGAATTCTTGACACTTTACATCATCTGGCTGAAAATCTGTTCTAAGTCTTACGACTTTGATAATATTTAGTTCTCTGAACTAAGGGGTGACCTAGGGGAGGGGTCTTAAGTATGGTGTGATCATCGCTGATGAGTGCCGGTAGTTTTCCGTGCTAATTTGGCTATAAATGCTGCCTTCATATCTTTGTTTTATGACACTCATGATTATTCGGGGTTGGTCACTGCGTGGATCATCAATAGAGGATTCTCGCTTATCACAATCAACTTTCTAGTTCATTGAGCATTCCCAGCCCCAGGTGTAATTCATGCCCAAATTATTGTAGAAACCGGTGATTCAGTTTTCATCCCCACTCCTTATTGAGCAGCGACAACCTGCGAAGCCTTTCTTATTGTATTGCATGTCTTCTTTTGTCTTGCCAACCGCATTGGCCAACCATTACCTTGCATAGAACCATTCGACAGAAAATCTGACACTCATCAGTGGTACTACGTGGTTCATAGTCATTGCCTGTTGCATATCATATGCATGAAACTCTGTTGAATCTCGTAACTTAATGGATGAGATTCATTGGTCTTTAATGTTTCGTCAAATAAGCCATGTCATTTTTTTTCTTTCTATTATCCCTTCTCCTTTGGATAAACAAAGTCTATGGTAAATCGAATTCATGTGAGAAGGGCATTAACCTGAGTTTTAAGCTTTATATATCCATTGGCATCTAAAAGATTCCTGCACTCGAGGTAGAGTCAAAATGAAATGTCTTTCTTGATGTGATAAGTGCTTTTCTGCGTATGCCATTTCAACATAAACGGCAAGTGGCACTAAAAATCCCAAGCCAATCGATCCGGCTGTCAATCCCTTGATTCCCGTTTTCGGTAACAGTTGTTGATACCCAATCCCTCTAAATCCCACTTGAGTTGCCTCTCTCAACGATTCTCCTAACACCACCACCTTTAGTCTTAATGCATATGCATTGCAGTATCTTAGGCCCCGTTTGATATGATGGAATAGTTTTTGATGGAATTGGAATTGAAATTGGAATCAGAATTGGAATCAGAATTGGAACAGAATTGAATTATAAAAGTATGTTTGGTATGTCAGAAAAATTAGATAGAATTTTTGCATTACTTTTGTTTGGTATGCAAGACATGGAAATGGAATTATACTTAAAAGACAAAAATATCCCTATATAAAAATTAAAATAAAACATAATAAAAACTTAATTGTGTACCAATTTTCTTATGTATTTTATATATTAATGAAATATTATATAAATCATATATTATATCTGTAACTATTATTCACTAGTTTGGGCCAAACAAAAAGTTTTATCATCAGAGGAAATATTTTTTGAAAATAAAATTGGCAATGGTTCCCATCCCTTCTACTTTAAAATAAATACACTAACATGTAGATTTAAAAGAAAAATGTCAAACAAATCAATTCTACTTCTTATACCAAAAAAATATTATAAATATATAAATTATATACAAATATTATATATAATACTATCTTATATATATATTATAACGCTTTATATATAATGAGAAAAAATATCATTCACCCTTTTGTACTCCCTTTTTCTTTTTTTTTTTTTGCTAGCATATGAGGGTTTTATTTTTTTTTTTTGAGGGCAAATTTGTCTTTCTGGAATTTGTATGAGGGCAAAAGTGTCTTAAATATTACAATTCTATAGAATTGCTCCCAATTCCATAGATTTACATAAGGAATCAAAATTAGCTTTTTTCCATAGAATTAGGATTCCCAAGAATTGTAATTCATATCTACCAAACATCACTTTATTCAGATTCCTATCCCAATTTCATTTCCATCTTCACAATTCCAACCTACCAAACATGGCCTTAGTGCATGCCACACATCGTGCAAGAACCCTAACATATGTGCGACGCTCACTGCGGTATGGAGAGATTCAAGCAATAAGGATAAGAGTTCCGGGTGCATGCTTCTCTCGTTCGGAGGAATTGAGAGAATGGCAAATGAGGCCTGCCTATTGCCACTGCATTCCAACAATAAGTTAATTAAAACTATTTTTTTATTAAAAAATGTAAAATATTTTTAATCTTTTTATGTGTAATTATTTTTTTAAAAAAGTATTTTTAGTGATAATAAACTTATATTTATTGTAAAGTTAAGGGTGTTTAATAAGAATAAATATAAAAAATAAAAGTAATTTAAAAATAAATAATTATTTAATTAGCAAATTAAATTCTGTTATAAAATATTTTATATTTTTAAATAGAATAAGTATCATATTGTGATTCGTTTTTCATGAGTTTTCTAGTGGATTCCTGAACATATGCTTCGAAAGTCTTATCTCGAGACTCGAGGTGCCATCTTTATTTATGTATTTTTATGAAATTTTGAGTTATATAAAAAAGAAAAATTAGATATAGGTCCTACGTGAGATATTTCTATACCGTAAAGTTCTCTTGAAATTCAAAATATATAGCGAAGTCTTTGCAGACTTAGGTGTAATTAAAATTTTATATAAACTTTTACGCCCCTTAAAACTTAAAAAAGAAAAATCAGAGGCTGTTTGATCTTTATTCTTATTTTTATTTTTTAAAACTGTTTTGTAATACAGTTTTTAAAATTATTTTTAAAACAAAATAAAAATTTATTTGGTTATGTCAATTAAAAAAAATTTTAAAATTAAAAATGAATTGATAGTAATAATTACAGACAATTAATGATGGTAGTTAATAATATAAATTAATTAAGATAACTATATTTTTTAATAATCAAATGTAGTGTATTTGAAAAATAAAAAATAAAATGAAAACAACTCAAAGTTGTTTTTAGTTTTTGTTTTTAAAAACAAAAATTGAAAATAATTTTAGAAACAACTGAATAAAAACATTTATCAAACAAATTTTTTAATTTTTCTATTTTTAAAAATAATTTTTTTTAAAATCAAAAAATAGACATGCTCCTAATCATTTGATCCTTGTAGTTTTAACTCTTGACTTGTTATAACTTAATCCATAAAATTTTAACTTGATTATAATTTAGTTACTAGATTTAATTATTGCAACTTAATTTTTATATTTTTAATCATTCAAGTATTGATTCCTATATCTTAAAAAATAAAATTATAAATTTAAAATTTATTAATAATATTTTAAATTATTAAATTCTTTTAATCTTGATAAACACTATAAGTTTAAAATATTTTTAATCTTTATAATTTTATTTTTAAAATATAAAAATTAATATTTAAGATATTAAAATTATAAAGATTAAATTGTGTGAGGCGAATTTTAAGTATTGAATTACAATTAAATTAAAATTATAATAATTAAGTTACAATGAGTTAAAATTTAAAAATTAATTTATAATTAAATTAAAATTACAGGATAAAATGATTAATTTTTTTTAAAAAAAACAACCTAATTTCTCAAAAACTTCACCACAAATCATCCCATCCTTCCCCAGACGCCTATTTCTTCATCTTCTTTTTTCCTCAATTGGTTGGCGATTGAATCGTACTTTTTCCAAAACACAAGATGCAAAATTGCGTCACTTGCGGCCTTGAGATTCCCAATATTTCTCTTGAATTGTAAATCCACAATGTAATTCCCATAATCAATCAAAAGGGTTCTTCATTTTCCTCAAACGCTCTCAACTTTGACACACAACTTGAATCCTCGACAGCTTTGAAGCCTTGTAGCAGTGAAATTTCCAGCAAAATGCTATGATTTCCACTGGCATAGCCAATCCATTACCTCCCAAATACTTCATTAGTTTGGACTCGTCGAGAGGATGATGATAGTGAATTTCTTACAAGCTCCCTTTATCATTTTCTCAGGAGCGACTTGCCCCGGCCTTCAACTAGATTCAAATACTCGTCAAATTCGTCAGCATCGTCAATGGCGAGGTCGAGGAGGGGGTGAGAGTCGTTGACCCGATTCCGAGACCCAGGACCATGCCAGACTCGACAGCCTTATGGGGGGTGATTTTCTTGAGCTCGTCTTGGGTTAGAATCATCATAGGGGACAGTGATTGAGGCGAGAAAGAAGAAGAAGGAACCAGAAGACGTCAATGGCCGTTGGAGGAGTTGATGGCATACAAGGACTTCAAGGCATAAAGGTCTCCGTAACTTGACGGGATTTTCTTTCCCGTAAGCAAGCGGGGAGTAAAGGTATTTTCCCTTAACATTTCAATTCCATCTGGGTCCAAAAGATTTGGTTTTATTTTTTAAATTTCACGGAATTTATCTGCATATAAATCTCTTTTATAGAACCTATAATTAATTTTTCCTATAAAAAATACACTATCATTGAAACTTTTTTTAAACTGTAGTGTTATTTTTTTTTCTTTGCCATATATCTGTAATGCAAACCATCCCTATAATAATTAAATGGATTGTTTACGTTCGTTAGTTCATGTCTTCATCGCTATATTTAAAATTACCTTTTAAAAGGGATTTTTCTTATAAAATGAACATTTTTGTGATTAAATCCACGGAAAAGATAAATAAGTTTCTGGGCAAATATCATTCAAGGACCATGGTAGTAATTTAATATCAAATAAAGATTAAAAGATTATGAAATCTTACTGCACAATTAAGGAATTGATTTCAAAATAAATTTAGAAGGGACAAGACCCCTGCTTTTTTTTTTTTCTTGTTGAAACATAATCTCTACTTGTTCCTTTTTACAATTAAGTTCTTTCAAACTCTTAAACTTGTTAATTAGCAATTGACTTTTTGTTAAATGTAAATAGATACTTGTTGATTAATGAATGATTACTTATTAAAATATGATTTGCACTTTTCTTTTTTCACAAGTAAATTCTTTCAAATTATTGAACTTGTTAATTAACGAATGAGTTCTTATTAAATGCAAATGTGTATTTGTTAATGAACAAATAATTACTTGGTGAAATATGATCTACAATTATTCCTTCTCACGATCAAGTTCCTTTATATTCTTGAAATTATCAATTAGTAAATACTTTTTATTAAATACGAATAGGTACTTGTTAATTTACGAATGAC